GTTTTTGAGAAACTAACAGTAACCAATAATTGGTTAATTGCTGTCCTTTAAGAAAGATAATTTAACTGAAGGCAATTAATTTCCAGAGTGTCTGTGTAGAGTTGGTATTAGTTCCATGGATACCATACAAAGATGCTATAAGATGCATATGCTGCTTCCTTTACATCAGTGCCAGGGTTGCTTCCTACCGGCACACTTTGGTTATGTCCATGTCATTGATCATTGAGTTTCTAGCATGGAACCCAGTGTGTGCTATGTAATTAGACTGAAGCTTTAGTAGAGGCTTTAAGGAAGAGTTGGGTTTTTCTTTAGGGATAAGGTAAGAGGAAACTTAAAGCAAGAAAGCATGGAGTCCTAAGAAAGCATAGAAACTTCAAGTCATAGCAAACAGTAGGCATGAAACGTATAGGAATGTGGGAAAACTCAGTAACCTGCATAGCCTGCTTCAGGCTATGGATCTAAATATTGTCGTCTTCCTAACTAACACAGTTAACACTGGCAACATGCCTGGGACTTGGAGCCTCACTAAGGAAGCTTCATAACGGGTATTTCAAAAGGTGAGGGTGACCAAGATTCCATGTATTCCTGTCTCCTGAACCCAGTTCCTTCACATACTCAATTAGTTTTTAGAATCAGGGATTTATGTTTGATTGAAAACCACATGTTTAATATAAAAGCCCTACAATAATTGACAGTAAGACCTGAAATTTGTAAACCCAAAAGTAATATAATCAGGTTTCTGTTAGAACATTTGAAGATGCAAATTCAAGTTGGGAGCCACACTAATTGAGAGTCTATGATATAAATAATGATGAATCAAATTATGATTGGGAAGAAGTGGTCATCATGACTAATACAGAGTATTCCGTGATGAGGAATGAAACCCTGAACAGTTGGGAACATCCAATATTTAGTGCTAGGAAATTGATAGATTTGGGGTGCCACTCACCAAGAGAGAAGGTACAAGAAGAAGTTTTGAGTAGAATATAATTAGTTTACTTTCAGACATAGTTTTAAAATATCTTATGGAACACCCAGAGGATGAGCTACATGTGGATATACTTTATGAACTAAAGAAACAGTTTTCAGTTTCATAGGGAGTAATTGAAGAATTTTATATTTGACTTTAGCTATATTTAAGTGATGTGAACAAATGTCATTGTGTTAAGATTGTGGGGATACATTTAAATGAGCTTAAGGAATTTTGGAAAGTTCTATAAATGTTTCTAGGGGACAGTATCAATAATAGGCAATTTTATAAAATATTTATTTTAAAGCTTAAGAAGTTTTAAGGTCAGATAAACACCAGGTATTAGGAATTCATAGTGTCAGCAATCTCTATATTTGTGAAAGTCATCTCAGGTCATACACTATTAAAGTTGAAGTGATAAAAATATGAGCTCAGAATATCAATTTATATTTGGGAGGTTGGAGTACTTGTAGAAAATGCAGAATTCTAACTCAATGAAAAATGTTTATAAAGTGATTTACTCTAAGGATGAAAGTAAGAAGAGTAGTTCCTCATTGAATTGGCATAAAAGTGGAAGATTAGGGACCTGGAATTTATAAGAAGGGGCAGAAGAGGCATGAGACTTCTGAAGATATTTTATATTATGAATATTTTCAAAAAATCCAAATTCCAAAATGGGAAGAGTAGAAGTGATTTTACCTTCATGTAGATAATAAAAGTACTTTATTTTGTAACCAAGTATTTCAAAAAACAACTCACCCATATTATGAAATTCCAGATGAATCATTAGGTATTTCAAGTCAAACAAAACACTGCTACTCATATGCATATACTTGTGCACAAACCTTATACCTATTTATATTATATTTTTATATTTAAAAAAAATTATTCTATGAAAACTAAATGTCTTACTTGCAATATATCTCCTATATTTGACTATTAATCTTTGATGAGAGAAATTTTCTTTTCTTTTTAATTTTACATTTTATTGAGGAACTCTTATTTTTCAGCTGACATGCACAGTAATGAATAGCTATCCTATTACTGGTGGTATTGTGGTAATTGAATATGGTAAAATCTAACAGGAAAAACAAAAAAATCATGATGGTACCTTTCTGTTCAAAAGTCACTGTGATTTTTCAAACACAAATACACCTTATCTAGATAATATATTATTACAAAGGAAGGTTCTGGGAACAGAAAGACATTTATGTTTTCAGCTTCTGAGTCAAGAAAACCTTGGCCCTTGAAGATTTCATTGCTGTCTAGTGTTCCTTGTTCTTTAGGATAAACTATCAAAGATATTTCTGAAAAGAAAATAGGGTAGAAATGGTCTTGAAAAGGACACTATGCACTTAATTCTACAATGTGGAGGCCAAACTTTGAAAAGAAATGGAAGGTAATGTATCATTGCTGCATGAGGGCTTAAGGGTCACACAGCCTTTTTCCTTTCAAGTCGGTCTTTGAACAATGAGACTGTCCCACATGAAGTGCAGCCTAAGGACAAACCCTTCCTTATTTTTTCCCCTTGATTTTGTTTCTACTTCTAGTAAATCAGACATCTTCTATTTAGCACTTAATATATGCTGTTAGAAGAAAAGTAAATTTAAGTATAAATAAGTTATTAAAATCTCTTTTACATCCTATACAGACAACATAAACATGTATAGGATGTAAAAGAACGAGATTTTAATATTTGTTATATCCAGGTTTACAAAAGGAAATTACCAAGTTGAGAACACCTTCTTCTTTCTCAAATTCCAAGGACAGTATTAGTTAATGCAAACTGCAAGGTCAGGTTTGTTATTTTATTCAATTCCAGTTACATGCAATCAATTATAGCAGGAAGAGAGAACTGGGAAGTTTTAATTTCTAGGTCAATAAGGAATCATCTCATTTTAAAATGTTTATCCTGGAACATTATTCAACTCTCACACTATAATTTATGGACCAACTATTGAAATTCAGTCTGAGAAAAAACATCAGGTGTGATGTTTTTTTTTTTTTTTTTTTTTTTAATCCATGATGTAATAGGAATTATTTAAAGAACTAAAAATATATTAGAGGAAAAATATGGTAAACATGGTAAGTTGTCATATATCTCATGGGTTACCATATGAAAAGTTTTCACTTGATTTTTAAAAGTTTGTACCAACAGCTGACAGCTCTTAGAAAATTAGGTAACATTCTTAACAGAGAGGGTAGAGTCACCACATAAGGTGTAATAATGCCAACAGTTGATCAGATATCCTAGCTTTGTTCAAGGCTCAACCACCTGTTTCTTAATTATATATTTTTAAGTTTTTAATTATCAGTGTAGTAGCTATTAAACTTTTCCTTGTCTCTTATTCAGCACTTCAGTATTCTACTTTGTGATATTAAGGTTCTTGTTCTTCAGATCATTGGCTGCTCTCCCAGGTCCCTGAATTACCTTCAGGGAATTTGGAACATCACAACAATTTTCATAATAATACTAAGATAATGTTTGACTCTCATTCTGTCATGAATGTACAGCAAGGTTCTCAAGAGGCCCTATGGTATATGATATGGCAACAGAAACAAGCACATGTTAAGATTATCCAATGGTCCTCAGTAAAGATAGGCATTAAAGAGATTAGTAACCATGCAGAATCATGCCACATTTCTCAGTCATTTTGTTTTTTAAAATAGCTATTTTTAATAAAATAGGTTAATTTTGTTAGCATGAAGTGGGTTGATTATTGTTATTTTTAGAATATCTCATCTTCAATACAGTAAATACCAATAGATACCATATACATAAAGAAAAGAAATATGATATGTCAAGATCATTGTAATGTTTTGAGCAACCAATAAAAAAAGAAAATTATTTCTGATCCACAATAATATTTAAGCCTTCAGAAAATCCCTGATATTGAAGAGTGAGAAATATTTCAATGCCTACATTTCTCTGTTGCCAGCTGAACTCCTACTGGGTCTTTAGGGTACACTAGATAGAGACGGAAGGCAGGAGGAAGGGGAAAGGGCAGGCTTCTGCTAGGCAGTCAGCTCTTCATCATTTCATCCCTACAACACATGGTTCCAGTGGCAGTAGTTTCTATTCTCCAGCTTAATGCCTTGCTAACAAGGGACAGGAGCTTTCTGTTACATGGTCCAACACAGACCACCATGATGCACCCTCATGAGAGCTCTGAGGTCCAGGGCCACAGACTCCTTCTTGAACTCCTGATCTATGAAAGTCAGCAAGGAAGAACCTGCTCCACAGCAGTCTTAGGGCTAGATCTTCCAGGTGATGCTCTCATCTCATAACTATTTCCCGGATCAGGAGGTCCTTCCTCCATGCCTTTGGGTTTTGATTACTTTAACCTAGGGTCAGCACATGATTCTTACTGTTCTTACTATCTAAACATTGGGTCCTCCCTTTGCTTTTTCAATCCTCCACACCATTAAGACAATTTCTGATTTTGCATTCTTTTGTGTAATACAGTGAAATTTCCATTTTCCTAACTGGATGGAGATTGATACTGTTATCAACAAGTATTAATGTACTTCTACATCTCTAAAATACTACCCATAACAAGAGAGCCAACCACCTTTGTGTTAAAAAATAATAATTATCAGAGATATAAATAAAAACCGTATTCTGAGCTTACAAATCGAAAATTGTGAAAGTATACTGGTAATTATCATAATTGATTTTAAATATTATAAGTTTTCTAGACATACTGCTTTGAGATTATATTTTCAAATATACAGTTGTCTATATTTGGTCATTTAAAAATAATACTTTTCTAAACTTTATGTCTTAAAATTATTACCTCAACCTGGACTTGCAGGTCAAGTGATAGATAATGATGAATTATATGTTCTCTAATGTTTAATTATTATTTGGAGACATTTTAAATGATTTACACAATCACAGTGTAGATTATAAATCCTGAAAAAAAGACAGTTTTAATCAAATTGTCATTTCCCTTTTAATGAGAACTTGATACTAATTTAGCTTTTGAGATTTTAACTGAATAGCCACTTTTAAAGTAAATAAACTTACCACCTGAAAGGAGAGCAGGCTTACTTTTAACCATTGGGCTAGAATGAGGAAACTTGTTGCTAAATGACATGAAAAGGTGTGCAGTGAAATCATCGGGAAGCTCGGCTTCCAGGAATGTCTTCATGAATAGCTTGAAACCTTCAAAATCTATGGTCTGAAAAACAATTTTTAAACATATATTTTAAGATCCAGCCAAAGGTTAAGATTTAGTGCTATCTTCAAAATCATTAGTAGACATTACCTCCAACATTTGTTATATCCAGGTTTACAAAAGGAAAATACCAAGTTGAGAAATAGGTTGGCCAGTCCTACACTAACATTGGCAATGGGATATATGTCTCACCTGTAGTGGTGTAAGCAGGAAGAGAAGGAAATTTCCAGTTAGATGTTTCTATTTCCACAGTATCTGTATGACCTTAAAAATTTGCTCTCTGAAACTCAATTTTGTCCTCTACAAATTGGTGTTCTTATTCCTGTCCCACCAAGTGACAATGATTAGATCAGATGATGGTGTGAACAAGCCAATGCAGAGTCTTACAATCCCAACAGGCACACACAAGGAAAGGAGATTCTTATCTCCTTTTCTTGTTCATAATGGTGAGTACTGCTTTTGACAGTTGTCAAAAGTTGCTGACTTGTTCCAACTAAATACTGAGATCACTTGATACAATAGTACAAAACTTCATGCACAGACTTTCAAAGAAACATAATTCAAGATCATTACACACCCTTCTTCATTATAGAACTATGTTGATTAGAACTTAATTCAAAGAGCATTATTATGGCACTGAGTGTTACTGTGTCCACATGGTGAATGGTTACAGAAGCCACCTTCAACCTCAAGGTAAACAGGAGCATTGCTCAAGAGTCATCAGAGAGCTTGCTTTCAGCTCCCAGCAGGAAACGGACCAGAGTCTGACTTCTGCTGGGGAAACTGGGAAAAAGCAGGTGGTACTCTGGGGACAAGGCATGTGAATGGTATTGTACTGCACTTGGCCAAAACCTCTATGACTGAAGAAATTATGATGGGTATGTTTCCTGAGAAACAGATGTAGACAATGTAGAAGAGAAGGCCTGTGGAATTGTCTTGGGTCTTATTCATTTGAAAGGACTAGAAGACCTACAGAGAAAAGGCTGGAATAACACCACATGGGTCAAAAGAAAGAGAATGTAACTGCAGATGGGCTTCATAGGGAGCCCTTTCAAGGGCCATTTTTTCTTACCCTGCTTAATGTACTGAGATAAAACTAAAAATAGGACAAAAACGAAATTTGGCAGGCTGATGCTTTTAATTTTGTTCAAACTCCTGGCAAGTGAGAATAAAATTAATTTTCTAAAGTGTTATTTCAGAATCTTAAAAGTCTATTTTTCCTGTATAAAAATATTAGAGGAAGGTGTTGAAATATGATCACCCACCACCTATTATTATCATTATCATTGTGTTATTATTATAATATTTTGAATAAACCCAAAATGGAATATAACAATCAGGGATATCATTAGAGAAAGTAGATTTTTTAAACCTGGATCATGTACTAATTAAGTATCATTTTTGTAGCTTAATGTAATCTCAAGCAAAAAAAGTGAAACCAAAAACTTCACTTATTAATAGTTCCAAGACTCTGCCTACACCTCAATCTGACATTTTCAGTTTAGTTTAGTTTTGTTTTGCTTATTCATTTTCACAAATAAGACATTTATATTGGTGGCTGTAAAAAGACTTCATTTTCTTTCATATTAAATAAATCTCCACAACCACCACAAAATATTGTGAAATCTGCTAGTAAAGTGAATTACATAACTAAAATCTATGAATAATATAAATATATGAAGAATAGCCTTAGGAAGTAGTTTTTTCAAAGAGCAATTTAACAAAATGAATGCAGTCAACATTTCACAATACAAAGATGAGGCCCACTTCCAGGCCACTGTATTCAACCTAAATTTTGAGAAGGGGCACTTACTCTCACTAATAGCATTCCTTAGAGATTAACAATTACAGGGGGAAAAAATACATTCAACCAGATGAGTGACCAACATTGGTAGATGATCTTCAACATGTATGATGACCTTTGGGGAACTGAGAGTTGATTTAATTGCAAAGTTAAAAGGAAGTTTGTGGAATGAAAATAGTTATAGGCATAGTGGTTAAAAGCAAGATTAATCATGGTAGAACTTCCTTTTCTGCCCTGCATCTTCTGTGGTCAGCATTTTGTTTACAACATAACAAGTGACAATGACTATGGTATTGCAAGTCAGATTAAATGGGTTTATTATTGGATCCAGTATTGGCTGTATGACTGTGGAAAATGTATTTAATCTCTCTATGCCTTAATTTCTTCATCTATTAAATGTAAATAACAGTACCTACCTCTTAGCTTGTTGGAATAATTAGATTATTTACTATTTTTTAAAGCATCATAATGATATCTGGCGCACACTAAATATTATAAGTAGTAAAACAAAAATAAACAATATTTGTGAACAGAATCATCAGTATTAATGTTCAGAATTCCAAATAATATTGAAAAACACACTTCAAATTTATATACATGTTTTCATATGCATTTAATAAGCCATTACATGGTTCACTGTTTTCATTGTTGATTAGAAAACTAATAATAAAATCCGAACTTCCAGAAGGTGCAAAGGAGTGGAAATTGCCAAAAGTTTTTCTCTGGGTCTCCTTTTAGATTGCAACTATATTTGAAACAGTTATTTCAAGCTTAGAGTTTAGCTTGGTGACAGAGGAAAACAAAACCCACAAACAAACAAAAACAAAAGCAAAAGAAAGGACTTCAGAATAAAACAATTCTATTTCAGAACCTAATACTTCCAGTTGCCCTGAGTGATATGGAGCAAGGGCAAGAAATTTATTTGCTTTTTTGAAGAAAACACCTGCCAAATCTCAATTGTGTGCTCTTTACTCAGCCTTATGTACCCAAGAAGAATCACGGTTAAATGGTAACCATGATTTAATGATGAAAACTAGAACAATGTCCCACCAAGAGAGGAAACAAGCTGAAATACCTAGCATTCCTCCTCTTGAACAATGTATTCCTCCTCAGCCCTCTTTTTTTTCCCTTTCTTTTTTTTTTTTTTCAGTACTCATGAAGTGTTTCTGAGCTTTCCCTAGTATCCTAGCTCTGCCTTGCTCAATAAGCAAAAAATTCAGTTTAGTTTTATTTCTGGAAGTTCTAAGCCTTAATTTCCTCTATATAAATTCATATATGAGATCAGCAGTTCAGGGTTGTTGTCTAAATGTAATAAAAATTGGTGTAAAGTGTTTAACATACCCTCAAGTACATAATATATAAAATAAATAAATATTAAAAAGAACAAATAAAAGGAAACACTGTCTTGAGGTTAGATGGATGCTCTTTATTATCTTAACTTGCCTTTTTATTGTTTTTAAAAACTAAAATTCACTGTGTCTTCTCAAATGAAAACCTCAGGTTTTGTGTGGCCTTAAATTATTTTCCAATAACTATTCTGTTATTATGCAATATTAATTAAAAAACTGCTTTTAGAAGGCAGGAATTTAAAAATAGATACTATGCTGTTTTTTTTTTTGTTTGTTTGTTTGTTTTTTAAACCTATCACCGTGTAAGCCCAGCTACTCAGGAGTTTGAGGCAGGAGGATCACATGTTTGAGGCTAGACTGGGAAATTCAGAGCCTTTCTAAAAATAAAATATAAAAAGAAGTGGGATGGAACTCAGTAGAGCATTCCTGGGTTCAAATCCCATTACCCCCTAGCCTCCACAAAAGAAAGAAAGGGGATAGAAAGGAAAAAGCCTACTACAGAAAAGCAAAGATTAAATATTTCCTTAGTTCTTAGTGACTTCTAAGAGATTGCTGAAAGGGTATTGACGATGTTAATTGTTTCTTCAACTTTTTTTCTGTGTTCTTGGGAGTAGAACTTTCTGTTGTGTTTTCTAATATACATGGCTTAAAATGCTGCAAAACCCAAGGTTCATAGCCCTGTAATAGCTGACTCAGTGTTTCTAATTCATTGAGGAATTGGTTCTTCAATGTTCATCCTGAGAAATCACCCTTTTTCTTTTTTCATTTGTAAAAGATATTTTTAATATCTCCTAAAATTCTATGTTGTTTAAATTATTAGACATTTTTTATATGATTGATGTCTTCATACATTTTTTTTTATCTTAGTAGAAATTTTCCAAATTTAGGTATCAGAGTTTCTACTCCTGCCTTTACAATTGATTATTTAATAGTGTGGCCTTTAAATAGAATGAAATCACTTATAGACATATCAGCAGAAACATTAATGAGAAAAAGTGGATGAGACTTAATTGAGTGTTCAAAAAATCTTATTGAGGGCTGGGGATAAAGCTTAGTTGGTAGAGTGCTTGCCTCGCATACACAAGGCCCTGGGTTCAATCTCCAGTACCACGAAAGTAAGTAAGTAAGTACGTAAATAAATAAATAAATAAAAATAAAAAATCAAATTGAATGTAAGCTCCTACAAATACAGGCACAATCTACTTCAATGTAAGCACCTACAAATACAAGCACAATGTTTAAAATTTTGAAAACTTTTTCTTTTTTGTTCTTAAGGAGCAGCCACAGACTATTCAGAGAGATAACAGAGAATCTGTGACAAATGCAGACTGAGGGTGCTGCTCAGATGTTGCTGCCAAATTGGCATAAATTCAAACACATTTCTATATGCTTTTCATTATTATATTTGACCATCTGGATCCTTTGTTTTTAAATCCCCTTTAATACTAAGGAAATAACACTGGTATTCATTTGAATGTATTTGAAGTGAATGAAAATAAAAGTAATTTTATCATTAATTTCCTCTGGCAGTTTTGGGTTGGGAATTTTCTCATGTTCAGCAAATGATCATTGATCACCTACTCTGTACCAAGCATCTTAAAAAAGTGTTATTGAAACACACACACAAAAATCCTTTCCATCAGGGAGCTTATCTTCTAATTAAGGGAATAAAAAAACAACAACAAAATGTGCTAGATGCACCATGTTGAATGGTATTAACTGCTATAGAAACAATAAAGAAAGAAAAGATTTAATATTTGGAGAGATATGGTTGCAGTTTTAAACCAAATAAGCTGTTTCTTGAATAAAGATATAAAGATGATGATGGAGAAAACTTATAGAAAGACAAA